GTATAAGTAGATTCCCAACAAAAAAAAGAATCATATAGAAAAGGGTAAAAATTTTATCTTCATATTGTCTATGTATGTATGTAACCTGTGGCTTGGAGATCTTGATTTCTAGTGAGGCTGATTAGTCTAGTTGAAATTTGGAGATTATAACACTCAAATTTAGAGAGAATCATCACAAATCGATTATCGGGGCAATAACTTTTATTTATTAAACCCAGTCAAACTTGAGTTGGAAATGAATGAGTATTGTGAATTCAACCATTAGAATAAACATTTCGGATATGAAATGAAGAATAAGTTCGGGGTGTGCATCTATGGAGATAGAATGGAGATATTCGAATTGACTGATCACATACATCAATCTAGCATCGTAAGTGGATGAATTGATTTTGATAGAATATTGTATATGCTTTTTATGAATTGCTCAAGTGACGTAAGACAAATCAACAAGTTATTTATATTTTGCTTGCGTGTTAAGAAGTTATTTTTGTTGGAGACGAATAAATATTCAAATTTGGAGGTATTTAGTAACTATGATTTTTACACTTATCTTGGCCTTCAAAACTAGATATTTGAGTCACTTTGATGGAATTACTATTTAATTTGGTTAAACTTTAGTTTTACATTAAATTCGATGTTGAATTGTATATGATGATAAGTCAAAGAGGACTAAAGTAGAACCATTAATAAAAATTGAGGACTTAATTGCAACTCTTCGAAACTTGAACAAAACCAATAATTGACAATTAAAATAGGAAGGATCTCTATTTTAAATAAGGAATGACTTCAGCTGAACATAGAAAGGAATTAGGGGACTAAAATGGAAGAAAGCAAAGAAGAAGGCCTTGCAATTGCAAGTAATCTTCCGTGTGATTGCAAGGTAGCTGTTATGAGTTCCTACAAGACAAAGAAGAAAGCCATGCAATTGCAATAGCCATAATCATATGATCACATGAAACACTCCAACATAGAAATTTCTATTTTCATTTGTGACTAAACCTCTTTTTGGAATATAGTTCAGACTATTTTTAACCTACTTGGAAGCCAAATTTCGATAAACAAACCCTAAGAGAGAGAGAGAACAAAAGGTAAGATACAAAAGTACACATTCATACATATATTTAAGATAGGGCAAAGGGGAGGGCGGATAGGGCTCAGCGCGACAGTGTGCAGAGTTCGATTCCCCGCAAGGTGGAATTGACTTTGTTGCAAGCGGGAGTTACCATATGGGTTAACAGCCTTGGCCTATCCATGTGCTCTCCACCCTGACTCCTGGGAGGCACATCCTGTGATTTACCTCCTCCACGATGGCCCAGGGCAGGGTCGGTGGGGGCCCCTAAGGTTGGGGTTCAACCTTTTAAGATTGTTGCTTGGATTTCAGTAAAAGAAGAAAATGCAAGGACATTATTCAATAAGGATATAAGAGATTTAAGAATTCATGACTATTCGATTTTTCTTTCCTGAATTAAAATCCGGGTGAAGTTTTCATATTCATTTATGTATTTTTTTGTAATTTTATGATGCTCGATCACATTTCTAGTCATTAGGATGAAGAGGCATAATTTGTTATTGTGATTTAATTCAAATTTCGAGACTTTGACATTTGATGCTTTCAATTACTTAGCTAATGATTGAATTGATTTGTCATCTTTGGGCTTTTGATTATGATTTTTGCTCCAGTTAACTCAGCACCATAAAGTAGTTTCTGGATGAAATACTCCATTTATTCGCAATTGTGAACAGTTCAAAATACCACAAGAAAACTATGAATTACCAATGAAAGTTAAAATGGTACTTCTTTCCGCAAAAACAGATTATGAATTGATCCCTTAAAAAATCCTGTTTAATAATTATATAGAGCTTGTTCGGTAGTGATTTTGAGAATTGATTTTTTGACCGTTAAGAGAAAAGTGGGGGGCCACATGTAAGAGAAGAAGTAAAATATTACGGCTAGAATAATGAAATAACGGTCAAAAAATCAATTTTTTGAGTTGAAAAATCACTCCCAAACGACAATATACAATTCATAATAGAGTTGACAGTATTTTAGTTTTGATGGTAATTTTTGCCAAAAAAAGAAATATATATGGCGAAATTTTTATTTTAGGTAACTACATTTTCATGTGATGTTTATGCAAGTATATTTTATTTTTGTTTAATTGGATTACACACTTTAATTTGATTTTTGTTAAAATAGCATAGTTCAAACTTCATGATTTTGGTGATAATGGATGGTGTGACAATCAGTTAATGATGGAAGTACTCAAAGCTACCTTAAATAAGAAAAAAATTAAAATTGCAATCAAGTATTTGAATAGAAAATCCTCGTAATCCCCTAATGATCACGATTCACGACGCCACACCCAACCATCCCATACGACTAATCCCTCAATATATAAGAGACTAATCCACACCCTGTCCACCTCGAACACACTCTACACTAGCTGTTTTCCCCCAACTCGCACAGCATATCCATTCAAAACACCCACCCCAGCCCCCCGCTGCAACAGTTGACAGAATGTAGATTGCTGAAAGTGATACTTTTTGACATGAAAAAAATAGTTCAACACATAAATAGACATGAAAATCATCCCAAGCCAGTCTTGATTTATTCTCAAAGACTTGAAAATGCATAACTCATTCATTTATTTAAAGATAAGAGCCAGTCTTGGTTTATTCTCAAAGACTTGAAAATGCATAACTCAAACGTTTATTTAAAGATAAGAGCCAGTCTTCATTTAGTCTCGAGACTCGAAAATAAAGGATATACTACAACAAAATGTACTTTTTATGGCCTACTTTTTATGGCGTGCAATTGCACCCCGTAAAAGGTTACCTCTTTTACGGCGTCTAGTTGCACGCCGTAAAAAGTCACCCTTTTATGGCGTGTAAGCAGTTGCACGCTGTAAATGTTACTCTCTTTCACGGCATCCCGAGGCACGCCGTAAATGTCAAAGTTTTTTCACGGCTTGCAAATGCACGCCGTAAACTTTCATTTCATTTTTTTAAAAAATTTTACATTTATTTAAATACCCGAATACCTATAGTAATTATGAAACAGAATTCCATATATATAACCAGGTTTTTCATAGTTTCGATAAAACATAAATATTGATTACGGTTCAATACAATATATCAATGTAAAATGCATCTCAATACTTCTCAAAAAGTACGTACTACTTAAAAAAAAATGAGTAAAATGTTAGAAAATATTAGATCCATATCAAAGTCTACTTCTTTGACCGACAATTTAGCTATCCCACAAAATATCAACTCCCTGCATTCCACACAAATAAAAAGGTATAATTAATATACTTAGAGTGAGCATATAAATCAAAAGTGTATCAAGAAATTTTATCATAAGTGCATTAACTAAGAAAATCAGTTCATGAGATAAAATCAATCTAAACCAAAACCAGGTTATCAGAAACATCAATATGCAGTCCAATCAGAAGGTATAACATTACATTTTCTCAGGTTCTCTAGTATTTTAGTACTCAAGTACTACAATGCCATAGATGGCGCAATACAACCACCAATGTCATAACCACCTAAACTTTTTGGTAGACCGTCAACACTACCATGATCCAAAGTATATGAATGAGTGTACCTGCTTTGCCTCCTCTAAGTTTCCAGGAGACTGGATAATAAACTCTCTCACCAATGACTCTTGTGATATTAGTATCACTAACACCAAGGTAGTCATTCACATAATCCTTTGTCATTGAAAAAGTTTAAAATTGTTTCAAAAGTCACCACTGACTACCTAAATAATAATCTCTCTCACCACTGACTCCTAACAATTTGTTTCAAAAGTCAATCAATCCAACTTTAAAGAAATCATTCAAAAGTATGATTGTTAACCACCAAAAAGTTTACTATAAATAAAAAATATATCAAGAAACATAAGAGCTTTAACAGAATTACATCTATAAACACCATATAATAAAAACCATGTCATATCAAATCAAGACCCAACAACTTCTTGATTTTACACAAACTAATCTTCATTTGAGACTGAATGCAAATGTAAATGGAATTAAAATAAAAAGAAGTTAAGCATACCTTCGTTGTGATTACAGCGAATCCACTTTGATGTACCTAATTGGCTATGCTATCGTACTTCCTAATGCATTTTTAAGAAGAAAAAGTTCACGTGTAGGACGATATAAGCTGACATTATCAATTACTTCATTACCCCAAACTCTCAAACATTCATTACCAAGGGGTACATGATGCACTAAATCACTTGAATTTGTTGATGCAATTTCACCTTTTGCAACAACTTTAGCTTTTCCAAACCAAGATAACAATTTGCATTTCTTATTTTGAAGGTTATTTGAACCATTCAAGTTTCTGTCTCCAGGTTGTAAAATTCATATCCAATTGTACAATTAATTATTTAGAATATAGAAAGTGTACATAATTTAGAATAACATTCATTAATTCTAACTTTCCACTTACATTATCTTCTTGTACAGTAGTCGTACTCTTCATTTGAAACAAAGCTTTTAATTCCTTAATTTCATCCCTCAACTCTTGGACTTGAGTTTGCCAGCTATGGTTGTGCACCAAGGCATTCAACTTTGAAGGAGTCGCACCGAAATCAAGACCTCTTACCCATCCTCGATGTTCTGCACCAAGTACTCTAGCAACACCACCATCTTTGAGACAGTGTTGGGTTGGAGAGGTAATCGTCTCTGAACATGCTTTTATTTTGTTCGGATAAGAGGAAATAAATTAATGCTCTAAGATTATAAATATAAGCTTTGAATAACTCAAATTACTAAAAGCAATATTTTTACCAATATTTCCCCAGCTGATTCATTAATAGGTTCACCATTTTTTCGCGTATGTCCTCGAATATAAACATCATCTCTCGTTATGGAATTAAGGTCTTCACTTTCAGCACGCTGCATTTTACATATTTTATATATGTGATAACGTAAATGTTTATAATTTTTCAAGCAAATTTAACTTGTAATCTAATAACTTTTTACCATTTCAGCTTCTAAACGAGCAAAGCCCTTTCTACTTGTTGTATGCATTATGGTTTGACATGCTCTCATCTTTTTGAATCTTTCATTCCTTTCCTACAAAATCAAATAATACTATGTAAGCATCACTTTTGTTAGGAAAATAGAGCATATGTAGTAAGCAATTTAGGAAGAAGTAATGAAAGCTTACCTTATATGGTTGGGAATTGTTCTTTGACATATGCTTGCCATTCTTTCATTGATTCAACATTATCCAGCTTAAGAAGAGCAGCAACTCGTGTCATACCAATTGTTTTTCCAGGATAATTTTGATAAGTGTACCCAATCTTTATCCATGATAATATACCAACACTATTAAGTTATAATCTGTTATAACACAATAAAAACAATTATATTAGGACATCTTTGAAATCAGGTTCCATTAGGTAAGTCATTTTGCCAATAAAGTTTCACACAAACTGAAAATACAAAAAAATAATTAAACCTCAATTGAAATAGGCGAAATTGGAATTGTCACAAACTCCTTCAGCACTACTGCAATCTGTTAAGAAATTAGTAGAGAACTTTGTTAAGAATATGATCATAAAGTTGGGAGGGAGGAAAGGCAGGAAAGAAGCATTAAAACAAGTAGCAAATTAATTCTAATGTCAAATTATCACAGATTCACACATTATCACAAACCACAAATTACCAATCTGTAACGTATACAAAAAAGTTCTCTCACATGTTATTGGGGGAGGAGAGAACAAATGAATAAATATCACTTTTAACATTTAGAATTAAAGAAATACTTTTATCTATTTGTAGATTTTTGTTGCACCATTTCCCACATGTTACAACCACTTGTGTCTTTTAGATTTGAATTACATCAATCAAACTGAAAAAAGTTTGAATATTAACTTCAAGAACACCTGACCTGATTTTCTTGGCAGATCAGCCCGAGCTGGTTCTTTAGTATATTTTTACTAGTCACCAAAAGTAGTTCATCTATTTTATACTTTGTTAAATCTGATTCTCTTTTTCTTACAAATAATTCAAAAAGATCCTATTTTGAAATTGATATCAAGGATTCTTGAAGCAGTTCCCAGAATCTTAAGCATCACAGGAATGTGAGTTAATAAGGTCTGTGTGATAACCATTTTAACAACTCTTAGATCAATTTGATTAGCTAAATCTAAGATACCCTTTTCTCACATTTTTTGGGCCACAATTAGATTTTATTAGTGGGTTAATAAGGTCTTGTCTTTCATAAGTGGTTTGAATCATATGATTATTTGTCAGGTTCTACAAAGATAAATGTATGGACATCAATTGAGATTACTAATATGATTAGGCTTCTCTCTAATTCGTTGTGACCTACCATTTCGCCACTGCCAATTTTATTATTATTATTATTATTATTGGGTAATCAATAAGCTATAGGCATAATTTATGATTGATTTCAGTTTTCAGAATATATATAGAAATTCTTTTTTGGAAAATCTGAAGGGTTCCAAGGTCTCCTTAACTCTGCCCCTGCTTCAACAAAGTCGAAAATAATACTATCTACTTAGTAAGAATGTTAAGTTGACAACCATGTTCAACCATGAGGTCCCTAACTCTCTTATCGCTCAGACATTAGCTAAGGAATCGAGCAATTCTTTGAACACCTACATGCTACATCGTAAGTCCAATTATTAAATTCGAATTTTTAGGTGTAAGTACAATCTTGGCATGAAATTCACCCATGATCACTAGTTATCGTTCCTTGCAAACAGATCATTGAACTTTAATTCGAAGCAATCACACCATTTTACTTTAATTTGCAAGCATCTAAGCAACATACAGATATCCACCACAACAATCAAATTTTATAAGTTCTCTCTTATAAGATAGTTAAATTTTAAATCTAATAATTAGAAATTAGAGTAATTATTACTCAACTTCAATAACCATTGATGTCAGGAACCCTGTATAAAAATAGTATTCAAATATTTGTAAATTATTGTCAGTTTTAAACTTCTTCCAACAAAAAGGAATATGAAACAATAATAGACAATGCTGCTTTTTCTGGCTCAAATGTAAGCTCACATACAAGCATACAAACGCATAAAGGCTACAACTTTTGAGGGATCATCTAAATTTGGTCCTACTATGTTTCGAAATTAAGAACACTTCTCTAGAAATTATAACAATTATACATAATACTATTCAAAGGTCATGAACTATTATAGACAGCAACAAGAATATACTAAACAATAAGTTCATCGTCTCAAATTCATGGTGAAGAGCTTAAATCTTAGCCCAAATCCAACGTAAGGTTTTCTCAATACTACGACTTGCAACTTGCACTCAACGTATATCAAATTCACGGCTCATAATATAGCAAATCATAAACCCCAAATCACAAATTCACAGATTACAACATTAAATCATATATATATATATATATATATATATATATATATATGAGAGCCAAATCAAAGAATTTAAAGGGCATGCAACTTTAACATCAAAAAAGGGGGATGAGGATGTAGAAAAATTCACGATTGAAAGAAAGGACGCAGAAGATGCAAAAATGGATCTTCCATAGCAGTTCATTTGTATCAATGTGTAGGAGACAATTTGTGACATAAAATCAACAAGCAGGATTGCATATACATAGGGTGAATTAATAAGAAAAAGAGAAATTACAAATGGGTGCATCTTTTTCGTTCTTTCATTTGTTTCATAAGAAAAAAAGTTTCCAGGGCTATAACAATCACCGAAGGCCATAAATTTCACGTTTTTAGTGAACAATAGAATCCAGATTTCATCACATCATTCTATGGTTAAAGGATTAGTAGCTGACCTTTAAGCAAAGTCTCAGTTGTATCACCGAACCTCTTTTATTTCCAAATCAGTTTCTTAAGTTTCTTTTTGCTCCAATTAAATTATTCCAACGGCATGCATTTGCACGCCGTAGTAAGTGAAGTAATTTTACGAAATTTATGTTGTGTGGATGCACGTCGTAATAGGTTGACGTATATGTGGCATACATATGCACGCCGTAATAAGTCCATCTTTTTACACAAACACGGCGCGCCCTAAAACAATGCCCTAAATGTTCACATTTTACGGCGTGCACAAATGCATGCTGTAAATATGTCGAATTCATGCATACATATAGCGCATGCCATAGATAGTCGTCTTTAACGGCATGCCATAAATGCACGCTTCATGCAGTAAAAGCCCACTTTTGTTGTAGTGTAAAGCTTGACGAGAGACCTCAATCCTAATTCATATGCAATCTTGTAGCCTCTATAGCCAGCATCAAAGAAAAGTTTTTCCCACTCTTTCTCAGATCTTTCTTTTCCATTGAACAAGACCATCATCAGTAGATCCGAGAAGAGCTGAGTTTCAGTGTGCTGATGGTCTTCTTTGTTGTTGCGTATGATCATATCAATAATGATCACTTTTCCTCCATTCTCCTTGCTTGGGATAGCTTCTTTGCATTTCTTTAATATTTTTACACACTTTTCGTCACTCCAGTCATGCAATATCCACTGTTTTTTGTTGTGTGAAAAAGTCGTTGTTAGCATGAATCCAACGTGAAAGAGTTAAAATAAATAGATGTTATTTAAGAAAACTACTACACCATAAGGTAGATGTAAAAAAAGAACTCCATACCTTGAGCATAATCGCATCTGCTTGAGGAATGGATTCAAACATGTTTCCCTTGATGTAGGTCAAGTTCTTACTACCTTCCAAGCCTTCAATGACATGTTCGATAGGCCTAGGTAAGGTATACGAAGAAAAAGCCTATTTGACATTGTTGACAACGAAACTTACCAAAGAGATTCGTTTCTCAACAAACTTTGGAAGTGAGAATCACTTTGATTCTATCATACATATTGGGATTGGGTTATACTTAAAAAGTATTCCTTTTTACACTGCAAGTGCGGGAAAGCATCTGCAATAGCTTTGGCCAATAAGTCATGTGTTTCCTCCAACATCCACCATAGACTTCATCTTATTGAAGATGCCTCGGAAATCATTAGTGAGTATCCTACTTAACAATTTGATGTCGTTAACCATGTTTTTATTGAAAAACTTATTGAGCATTGGGTCGTGACTAGCACAGTCCCAGAATGAGCTTCCATGGGCTGTCTCAAATGTAGAGGGGTCATCATTTTGAAACCAGTCACTCATATGATCCCATGCCTTTCGGTAAAATGGATTGAAACAGGACTGTAAAAATGGTATCATACTCACTGCCTGGTCTTTGATGAGGAGACGAGAAGCTGGTGTAAGCCAATACCCCATATTTGCGTCATCCTCGGAAACTTTTTCCTCGATGAAGAACCATGAACTTTTGCTTTGCTGATGGAGAGTGCATCGGCTAGCTGTTGGAGTGTCATTGGTTTACCATGTTTGTGGATGATATCTGGTATGCCTAGTTCAGTTACACATTTGAAAGACGCGATGTATATGACGTTGATTTTGTGGTTCCAAAATTTGGCTTGAGCTTGTAGAAGCTCGACCGATTGTTCTCCGGTAGGTATTGCCATTCCTAGAACTCGAAATTTTTACAAGAATGTGCTAGTCATGTTATATGCATTACCATTGAGTTACATATAGGAAACAATCATATAAATTGCATACACGTCCTCAACCTTTTTTTTGTCTCAATTTTTAAACAAAATTAGCAAAACTAGAAACATTTTTTATATTGTTTCCTCATTCTTCCCTTTTCTTTATTTCCTTTCTTTTTCTATTAACTTTGCATCTTCACCCTATATAATGACTAAATTTTTTAGGGTTAATGTGGTGTTCTTGGCCTATTTTTGGTCTAAAATTTGATGTTCCAACCTCATATAGGGATAAAAATCATGGAAACAATTCAAAATGATTTTGTCCTTGTCTTTCATTGATATATAGAGAGTGTTCACCATCCATACTTTTTTAGCACATATTTATTTTACAAACATAATTGATTAAACTTAGTTTATCTCCATATATTTTGTGAGACCCACAAATACTATCAACTTATCCACCTCTCATCTCTAATTTTTATTTATTCATAACTTTGAACAATTATATTCAATTCCTGAATGCACTTAGGTGCTATATTTAATTGGGACTTTTACGACCTTTTTAAGTGATAGATTTTTATGGAATTTCTAAACTTTTATATACTTGCATTGAGTTAATGAAAGTCAAAAAGTCACTTCTATAGATTTTTACATTGAAACTTCCATAGAATTTATTTGACTTTTGGTGACTTTTATTTAATTTAGAATTGCCATTACTAACAAACAAGCAAGCAAAGACGAAATGAAAATGAGAATGAATTTGAATAAATTGAAATAGAAAATTATGAAAGTTATCAAGAAATTAATAGATCAAATGAAAATAGTGAAAAAGATGAAAGTAAAGATGATGAAAAAAGAAATTGGATATATAGATACGAATTATTATAGGGTTCTTAGAAAATCTAGAAAATTAGAAATCAAAGCCTTATTAGAAGAAGATCAAAATGACGTAGAAATTAAGATGTAAGAAAGTAATGGAAGTAATAAAGGTTTTAATTCGGAAACAGACCAAGAATTGTGTACACGTTGAGTGATTTACTTCAATATAAGTTGAGTGATTAAATATGTTTTTAATTGGTTTTAAAAAAAATTACCGTTGCAGATTTGAAGTGATGATTGTAAATTTGGGAAGGGGGTTCTTTTTGTGATTGTAATTGATAAAAGATTACTTTAAAATTTTAATAACTGCACAGTGAGAGAACACCAAAAATAAGAACTAATATTTCCGATGAGAATAAGCTACAGTTTGATATCGATTAAAATCAGATTTTAGCATATTCTGATAAAAATTGATATAATGTATGGTTGAAAAGCTGTAGATCTCATGAAACATGTGGTTAAAATTAATTGTTGATTTCAATTTTAATAAAGATCTAGGGTAAAATATTTACTAGACAGAGGTTAAACCTTGGTAACATTACAGGATTAAGCCGCTTTAACAAAAAATTTGCCCACCTGCTTGACAGATGCAATGTTGACAACAAATAATTGAGTGCAAAAATTAACTTTTTCTAAATAGTCCAATGATAGAATGATATGTAACATTATTGAACATTATTATATATAAAAATGCATATATTGTAGCATTTTACAGCAGACATGAATGACAATCATCCACGTGGCTTTGTATTCATTGAAAGCAGAATGGCAATTGTAGCTTTCTTAAATCTGTTACTCTCACATGCATCAGATCCCCTAATACCATCCATCAACTTATCTCCCAAGTTGGAGGTTGATTTAAGGCAAAAATAGGGAGGCCAAAAAAAAAAATGACGATTAGATGCCTTACTTCTTCCTTCGAAATTGGGACCCATTTGTGCTGGCATTGATTCACAAAGAATATCATAAATTTTGGAATCAAACGTTCGTTGGTTCTTCACAAAGAATATAGTATTCTTCATCTTGACTATAAAATCACTGATTCTAATGAAAATCGATTTAAGACTGGTAAATGGAAGAAATTTTCTTTAACTAATATTTTATTTAAATTCAAAAAATAACCACCTCGCCATTAAGGCTACTCCCCTTATTTATAACTACTAAAAAAACTTAATTACGACTAATCCTAATAAATAACAAACTTTAATCAATGACTAATTCTAATTAATGATTAACATCTTTATAATAATAAAAGTTAAAAGTTCTAATTAACATTGAATTTCAAATTGTCTAATAAAGAAAATACTAGCTAAAAATAATTAATAACTCAATTCTTATTATTCTCCTCCGATTGACAAAAATTCATCCTCGAATCTTGCAACTGTGTTTTTCATCCAATTTCTCCTCCAATTAACAAAAATTCATCCTCGAATCTTGCAATATGTTTTTCATCCAATTTCTCGTAATAGCAGTATTTTGATAATTGATTTTATTGTCATTAGTTAATATTAATTTAATCAAAATCTTGCAATCAACATTTGTTTTGTTCAAATATGAGTTAGAATGGTTAGATAATCTGCTCTTAGGTCCACTTTACTACTCGTTTAACTGACAAACTATATTCTTTAATTTTAATCAAATGGAAGTTAGAAATAATAAATTAGAAATTCAATTATAGTCCTCGGGAGGAACGATAATCCAGATTCATAAATTCTTTATTTTATTTGCTATGATCTGTACGCTTACGAGATATAAAATTGACGATAAACCACTTGTTGGTTTCATTAAGTTTTTCTTTATATATATATATATATATGGAAATTGAAAGGACATAGGTACTAATTTTCGAACTCTTGAAGCCGTCAAATGCAAAAACAATAATCCTTAACTAGGATAGGATGCTAGTAGCAACGTTGACTAATCTTACCATCAAGACCCAATGAACGGGTTTTGACTAAATCGGCCGACTATTTGAATTTACTTTGAAATTTGACGAAATAACCATGTTTTGAATCATGTACCTCTACTTGTTATTTTATTGGCACATTACCATCAAGCTATAATTGTTTATTTGTAGAACAAAAAACATAAGAAATAAATATTTTTGAAATTAATAAAGAATACGTATATAGATCAATATACTACTCTACAAATATTAAGAAAATACGAAAAACTTATATTGGTTATTTTTAGAAAAGAGAAAATTTGAGAATTTATAAATCCCAATTACTAAATGAATTTCTAATTTAAAACCCGTTTTAACTTTTAAACTTATTGTTGTATTTGTACTTTTTTTACAAAAATAATAATCTATAAAATTTGAAACAATAATGACCATTCAATTGAACTAGTAACTAGTCGATCAATATTTTAATCGAGTTAATGACTAGATTGAGTTCGATAACTATGAGTATGTTAGTTCGAAGAGTTGCTTTTGAGAAGTATTTCGAATTTTTGTGTAGAAATAAATTTTCCAAAATGTCAAGATATAGTGAGTTGATTTAGTTAGGCATGATTAATATCAACTAAATAGATGTAATTGATCTAATTAGTGTATTTAATCAAGTGAAACTTTATTAATTGAACCTAAGAGGCGATATTAAAGGGAATAACTGGTAAATTATGAACAGCATTGTTTAACTATCATATTTGATCATTTTATTACTTTTATTTTTCCTAGTTAATATTATTTAATCAAAATCTTGCCATCTTTGCTTTATTCAAATGTGATTAAACATCAAATAAATAGCATCGTGAAAATTCAGAGTTTTATGTTCACTTTACTAATTGACACATACACTTATGATTATCACGCAGCAACCCCAATAAGTGAGTTCCTCAACGAAAGATGGGTTTGAAATTCCCTGCAGCTAGTTGTTTGGTTTCGTTAAGGTTTTCCTTTTCTAGGAAGAAATAAGGTGAGAAGGTATCAATCTTTGAATTCTTGATGCTTGACCTCAATTGTGATAACAATAATCTTTAATTAGTTGGGACAAGATAAATTGATGTTAGTTTCGTTAAGATTAACATTAAAGTCAAGAGGTGAAGGACCAGCAATAACGCTCTTGACAACTTTTAAGTTCGGGTTTGGGACACGACACTACTTCAACTTTTATGATTACCAAGTTTACGTTCTAAACAATTTATTAATTTGACCTTACCTGTGGAATTATACTAATTAAAGCAACAAGTCGCTTTTAATTGATTTTCTAGATGATTAAACATACAAGTCTGTTTTTCCTATGTTTAAATGCCGCAATTGTAATAATATTTAAAATGGTAAACAACGCATAATTTTTTTGGCGGAGAAACTCAGTATGGGAAAAACTTCGAGACCAAACCAGTTACCTCCATTATAGTGAATTAGGGTTACAATGTGATTTCAGATTAGCAACTCTCTCTAGTTCTAGCTATTATAATTCCTGTAACCTCTAAGACCCACTGTCAATCTTCCAATCTCACGATCTACTGCCGTAGATACTACATAGCCACTCTACTAAACTTTCTAATCTATCTTCTATAGCCCACAAGATCGATTGTTTTCTTCCAGCCTTCTAATCTTAAACTGATTGCCTCTTCCAAGTAGTATTCCCAAGAACCTCTTGTTCTAGTGCTTTCCCTTCGCTTGAAGTTTACCTTTCTCAATCCCCAATGAGAGAGTCACCTCCTCAATGAACTAAGGAAGCCAGGTGTTTTGAATTACAAAGATGTAATGTTTCCCAAAACTAGGTTGTCGGATTTCAAGAATAAATGATTGATTCCACCAATTGAATTGTTTTTTTCAAATCTCTCAAAGACAATATAAAAGTGTTTCTTAATGATATCACAACGTAGCAACTTAGAAATTTCGTCCATGCCTTGGATATTTATAGTTAGGGGTGATAAGTATCATAGACCGTGCAAAATTATTAAAAATCACGATCTAGGGTTTGGCCACGTAATACTATCTCTTGAGCGACAACTAGGCAAAAAGCGAGTGACACAGCGTCAACAAGCGAGCGTTGACCTCTCTGTTATTTTTGCTCGAGCAATGGTCAAGCGGGTAGCTAGCGAAATTTCGGCAATCTTCTTACCTTGTTTCCAACTGAAAACACGAA